CGACAGTGGGGGAGGCACCCTGCACTAGCTGCGCGCCTCACCCCTCCCCCCCCGTTCGTAACTAGGGGTCCGACTTAAGTCGGACTGACGTAACCCAGGTACTGCCTGTATAACAGTGTGGATTTAAAACTTTTTACCATCAGGCCCTCCTTTTGTTCCAGATGGGTACGATTATCATCTTCACTTGTATGACAGTCAATAATGATACATATCAGCTATTAATAAAATACTGGTACACTAAAGTATGCACACTTATGACAACTGCACCATTACAGAGATTTGCTTCTTTCTGTACATGTAACTTACCAAGGTGTGGAATGACTGACACAAATTACAAAATAATGTGATCTGCAAACTTGTCAAAGTAGATCACAGGCTCCTGCCACATAATGTCCCCCATTCTGTCACTGTTCGCTCCTTAATTTATTTCCTTTGAGTTCCCATATATTTCCTCCTATAGCTCCTGTCTCCTTTTATTCCCTGTTACCAAATATGACAGCTGCCTACTTGGTTAACACCAGAGACTGAAGCAAGGCTATCCTGAAATAAAAAGGAGATGTCTATACAGTTTGAGATAAAGAGCCAAAACAATATCAGACTACAGTATGTCGGCAGGGACTAGCTTTTATTTAAAAGGCACAGGTGATCACAAGAACATAAGTTTCAAAGCGGTTGCCGTGTTAGTCTATAGAGGAAAAAACTTAAAAAATAACAGTCTTGCAGCACCTTGGAGACTAACAAAAAATGTTAGTAGATGGTATCATGAGCTTTCGTGGGCATGACCCACTTCTTCTGATGTGCCCACAAAAGCATAAGCTACTGAAAGAGATTTGTTTTGGTTTCCTATTCAACTACCCGCTTTGGCTGAATACTATTTGCTTTTAACAGTTGAAGACAGCAATGACAGCGCTACTTAAAATTCTGTTCAGAGGAAAAGAGATCCCAACTTCTTGAAAGCCTACAGTTTTTTCCTCTTTTCTCAGCTATTAGCACTAAGCAAACACTGTCATGAGACAAGTACATAAACCTAGTCCATTTGTCCTTGACATGCATGGAAAAAAAGTGTTACATTTTCCAGCTTCTGACTCCAATTAACTGTGCTCATACAAGCTGTTTCTGGATCCTTTCAGTCTGCCCTTTGCGTAAACCTCATGTTAGATGAAGAGCATACTGCCAAGCAAGAAGCTTCAGAAGAATGAGGTGTGAAACAGAAAGATCGGAGAAAAACTATAAAGGAAACTATGAAGAGGGAAAAAGAGAAAAATATGAAACAAAGCAAGCCTCATTATACATAAGACTGTGTTTCCTTTTGTGGTGAATCCTCTGCAGGAATACAGTTTTTTCATCCTCACTACATGCTTGGGGTTGATTTGGAAATGGGTGCAGAATGCAGGAAGTGATTTGTTAGATATTGATCCCCACTTTTCCCTTACAGAGCCATTTTCAACTGATAATAAACCCAGGCATACTAAAGTTAGCCCAGTGTGGGTATAAGAAATGGAAAAAGTGGCTTTAACTCACATTTACAATGCCCTGGTCCTACATCCCTTCAAACACCATTAAACCAGGAATGATCAAACATAAATGGGTGTAAACAGCTCCCAAAAGGCTATTACAGCAGCTGGGGATAATCAAGATTAGAACTCCTACCCTATTTCCCTTACCCAACGTTTCATGAGGCATAAAGGATCTGCCAACTAAGGGTTCTGGGGTCGGCAGATCCCCATCTAGACTGCCGCGCTGTGCCAACAAACAGCTGATCAGCACAGCTCAGCGGCCATTTTGATTTAAATGAAGTGGTGATTATTTAAATTGCTGCTTCATTTCCCTTTGTCATCCTACCTCACCTACATGGCTCCGTCGATGGAGCCATGTAGTCTAGGCACACTCTTTATGCCAACCCTCTGTGGGACAGTTCCTTGTGAACATAAAAGAAGACACGTAAGTTATATGTGAGGGTGATATGTGAGGGCAGTGTGGGATTGGGAAGAGAACATTTCAGGGTGTCAACAGATTTATTGAGGACAGGGCTGAAGCACAGTGTCTAGAAGACTGTTACAGCCAGAGTAAATCAGAGCATCACTGTAGGCTATAAATTGCACAGGAACCAGTTTGGCCCTTAAACTGGGCCAGAAAGTGAGGATTCATAAAAGTGACATAGAGCCACAGGGGGTATGAGCTCAGCAGAACTGAAGATTGAGTTTGTAAGACATTACTTTGCTGACCCAACTAAAACCGGACAGGTCCCCAGGTTACTGCTAAACTCAACATCACCAATCAGTCATGCTCCTTATCTATTTTAAACAATTCATCTTTCAAACCAGGAACCAAGAAGAACAGATAAAAAAGAAGAGATTGTAATTAAGCATAATAAATATAATAAGGTGGGTCAGAGATATAAATAGATGGACACAAAACAGTGATTTAAACATATTTTGCCCAAGTCAAGGTAAAACCAGAGGGTCACATGCTTCATAGTTTCTGTAGACCAAGGCCATAGTGCACAGTAGGGGCTCCTTGCATCCCCGCATTTCCCCCGTAAATGCCCTATGTGCCTTCCTCCCATCCCTCTTTATTGAAGGGATTCCCTGCATCTCCCTCTGCCTGCTCCCTCATGACTGGACTCTGGAATCACCCATTTCCTCCTTCTATGATAGGAGCTCTGCATTCCCTCACTACACTCTCCACTACATGCCATAGACCCCAAAGTCTGCAGTCTGTACATGCCCATTTTCTCCCTTTTGCCCCATACCAGGATTGTTTAATTCCCCATGTCCAATGTGCGCTTATTCTCCCATTATCCCCTGCCACATGGCATGGGTGCTGTGTGAATCCACCATTCACTCCTTCCCCTTATTTTCCCTCCCCCATTCTCCCAGTCCAGGCCATGTGTGCACACCTGCATTTCACCCCTCACACAACCCCTTTCCTCCACACAATTATTATTTATATTCATTCTGTCTGGGAGATAACTCAGGGTATCAAAATGCTAATTTTTACTGAGAGGAGAGGCAGAGATGAGACAAAACTTCTGTTATGCTGGAAGGTATTAATGGGTGTCATCAACCAGTTCTTTGGTGCACTGACACTTGTAGAGGTGCTTGAATCCATGGCACTGATAAACAGAGGGAAAGGGTTTCATGTGTGCTCCATTTTCCCTCTTTTGATTTTCCAATTTCCCCAGAATCAAAAAGTATTTCAAGAACGATGCCTAGAACGTTCCTTGGAATTTTGGAATTGATTGCTGGTGTCATTTAAAAGTTATTGAGTATGTATAGACAAACAAAGAAATGCCATTGGACTCAGTGCATGCTGATGACATATTAGCAGCATGTAAACCTTACAAAGAGGGTATTTATATCTTGTATTTTTTTTAAATGTCCAGTTGCCAGCTGTTTCCAACAACTACTGTCAGTAAAGAAGTGCCTGAATTACTGTGTAACAACAAACTAGCTTCTCAGGAGGAGAGAAAAAGAAAACAACTTACTCATAGGTGGGTTTTGTATGTGACCATCCATATAGATTGTGCACATCATAATGTCTAACAGGGGTTCCATCTGGTAGGAACTGCTGACTTTCCATGCATAAAGTTTTGTGACTCAACCCAAGTGACCGTGATTCCAAACCTAATGAGAAGGAAGTTTAAATATTTATATAATTAAATCATACCAAATAATTTCCATATTTAACTGTCCATGCAGCAGGAGTTTGTTTAGCTTTGTTTTGCTTTGATTGTTTATAGAATACTACTCTACACTTTCTGACAATTTAGATTTTGAGTAATGGCTGTTCCCATTAATCCTGTATACTAATTTGGAACTAAAAAACTACTATAATAATCTCATTGAAGATAATGCTCTCACCCTGCCAGAATGGGATCTCTTAACTTAGAAGATACTGCATCTTCAGAAGCATTTCTCCATATCAAACACAGAACCTGAATAATGGGAAAACGTTTGTAACTATTAAGTTGGGGACAACTTCCAAAATTAATACTGAGAAACTACATGACTTTGGAAGGAAGAAATCATGGGATAGTACTCTACATGAGTAGAACATTAGGAGGAAAAATTTCAACAGCACGAAGGGCTTTCAAAGGGAGTATGACTAACTACCTTTTAAAATATCCTCCTGGATAACTACTTGTTAAGTTATTCTCTCCTAATGGTCTATATTTTAGAATACTTCTACCATAAACTCAGCCAATTGTGTACAAACTATGGCACAGAAGACTCTAAACTGTGGAATGAAGAAAATTTGTATTTGATTATAAATTCTACATTTTCCCCAAGCCATGCTCTGTAATTTTTAAACTGAATTGTTTACATCACGTATATTGTTAAAGCTAGGAACAATATTTTCTAATGTGAAGAAACAAAGTAAGGTATAGACAATTTGGGCAAAATGCTTGGAGCCTTTTCTTTTTTCAAACATCGCTACACGTAGGCCTCAAAATCCATGTTATGTAGGCCCTTAACTAAAAGTGGCTCTATTTGCAAGAAGTCCTGAGTAGGCACTGCTCCTCACTGAAATGAGAAATTGTGCATTACAGAAGCTCTGGGGAAAAAAATCAAGCCCCTTTTATTTACATGTTAAAAAAGCATCAGCATTTATTCTGGTCCCAGATATCATGTAAGTCAATGATACGACTAGAGTCACTTACCAGATAGTTACTATACTTACTAGGCAAATAGGGAGGTACCAGATAGTTACTATACTTACTAGGCATATAGGGAGGATTGTTTAGCTCCTGGTTTTTACAGCCTTCAACTGCTCCATGAACAAAGCTTGAAGGTTCATTCATGTCCTAAAAGCAAAAAGAAAGAACAAGTATTTAAAAATAATTTTTATTTTGATGATGTGATATATTAAATCCTATTTTGCAGGGGGATATATAATAAAACTCCTTCAACAGCATTTACAGTTGATTTTTTAACATTATGGATCTATTAATTTACCTTTTCTTTACATGACAGAAATAAAAATTTATATTTGTAAAAAAAAAAATGGAATGGGAAGAATGTACCTGTCTGAGATTTGATATGGAAGGCTCTAGCTTATGAGAGTTTGTTTATGTATAATGTATAATGCCCTTAAAAATGCATGAATACATTGGATCTACTAGCAAATCTAGCTACCAAGAAACTGAGGGAATAGTTTCCTCTATGGCGGCTCACACTGGGTTCTAAACGCTGTGCCTCTTTTTAAATGTAATAAGAGTCACCAGGCTCTTCCTACATTTAAAAGGCATGAGCTGGGACAGCTGAGTCCTGACTCGTGCCCAGTCCCAGAAGCTGCACCTCTGCTTTAAAAACCAGAAGTGCCACATTTAAAAAACAGAGGTGCCACATCTGGGACCGGGCATGAGCCAGGACACGGTTGTCCCAGCTCACACCCAGTCCCAGACCCCTGCAGCTCTGCCTACACTTAGAAAGCAGAGCCGCAGCGAATCACCTTATAGACTAATCAAGTAGTCAATGGAAATTCCATTGGCTACTAGATTACCTTACTAACCATTATTTAACATCCCTAATAACCAGTGGCCTGACTATAGAACAGCTGGCACCCCTGGAGGGGGGAGGAGACTTTGCATGCTCCCCCATCCCCAGGAACCATCTGGCCTGCGGGCCGGGGTCCATAAGGGTGGCCATGGGCCGGATCAACCAGCTCGTTGGCCACATCTTGCCTGCAGAGGCTCTCTGGCCCTCCCCTGCAGTAGATCAATGTACCCTAAGAACACAAACACCTCTCTTCCTATGAAGCAATGCATACTTTTTGGTAAGTGTTCCCTCTTCTGTACAGCTCTGGCAGAGCAGAGATTACAGTCACATTCATTTATGGCAAGTTCACCCGTGACAAACCGTCAAGATCCTGTAGAAGGGTTTATGCAGAAACTAGCAAAGAGACCCAAATGAACGCAGACCTTAAGAGTTTAACACTATGATTGCTAAAGGAGTCTAAGGATATGTCTACACTACAAAGTTAATTCGAACTTAATTCGAACAGACGTTAGTTTGAATTAACTTTGATAGGCGCTACACAGGCAAACTGCTATTTCGAACTTAATTCAAACTAGCGGAGCGCTTAATTCGAACTAGGTAAACCTCATTCCATGAGGACTAACGCCTAGTTCTAATTAAGTAGTTCGAATTAAGGGCTGTGTAGCCACTTAATACGAACTAGTGGGAGGCTAGCCCTCCCCACCT